TTTATATTTATCAGGAATAAAAAAAAACTTAATGAAGCATGTCAAAGCTATTATTAACTGAAATAACTCAACGTGGGAATAGATCGAGTGACCTGTCTAGCCACAGCTCGCGCCATGTCAAAGTCGGGGCCCAAGCAGCTGGCGATGTCATAGTATCGTTCGATACTCTCACAAATCCCGCCACTTCCACCAGCCTCGCTGATTGACGGCAGCACCCGGGATAGCTTCTGACGCTTCACAGGGTCTTGGAGCACTGAGGTCGTAATATCCGTAGTAGCATTAGGACTCAGCAGCTGCCTTATCAATCCGAATGCTTCACCTGGATTCGTAATGGTCACTCTGTTCACGACAGTGATATTGTTTTCCTTTCCGGCAACCCAGAAGAACCGCCAATCGTCGTTAAAGTCAGTAAGCAGGGCGAACACTTGGTCGGTAGTCATCAGTTCCAGAGCAATAAGCTCTGACATCGCCTGGAAGACAGAACGTCTTTCAACCGTTTTCTTCACTGCAATCAGCATCCTCACTTCAGGCAAGTCGTGGACATAATCCGCACTCTCCATGACGATATCACTAAGTATAAGCAGATCAGTGCGACCCCGGAGCTCAATGTTGGAACCCTCGACAGCAACTCGGAGAATATCCGTCGTATTTTCCACACCGAACACGCAAAGCTTCATCGCCCGGAGATCCTCGCCAATATTGTCCTCAACATACTTGCGATATTCATTTTTCTGCTTATCCTCGGTGTGATTCATGTCCCACGTGAACCCCTCGACTTCTTCGCGCCACCTTGCATTTTTTTTACGCACAGGCACCACCTTTATCTTGAAGACGTCCAGAAGTTCCTCGTACTCGGTTGAGCCCATCTTCGAGTGGACATATGTCTTGCGCTTGGTTAGCACAGTTTGCGCGTGAATTTCGTGAACCTCTTGGATCACTTGATCCATCCCGGAAACCTCGCTCGCTGAACCAACTGCCCCCTCCGGAACCACCACCAGCACGTGAACAGGGGTACTTTTAGCCTTGACATCTTCAATCGTGGGTGTGAACTGCACGTCTGTTCCCGACAAGCCAACCAAGTTGAGAGGAGCTCCTACAACGTCCAACGGCGTGAAGCCATCGGTGTCATTCACGCCGTCATTCACGTCTGCCTCCGTCAGCCATGCGCCGGCGCCTTTCTCCTTTTTCGCCAGGAAGAGCTTCAGGTCCTTGGCATCGCACGTGATCGTCGCTGTATTCTCCGCCTTGATCGCATCCTTCAAGTCATCCACCGAGTCGCTCTCGTCCACTCGCACTGAGAACGCGGTTCCCGCCGCACCAACGATCGCACAGAAGAGCTTCACCATCTTTCCTCGAGCCGGCAGATTCTGGAATGGGGAAGAAGGAGGGAGAATTTCTGGCGTACTTAAGCGGAAAAGAAGGCGTGTGACATAGATATTCAACCAATGATGAGACGCCACGTCGCGCTTGTCCCAACTAATCCTTGAGGTAAAAATCCGCCAGCGTATTGCTTTTATCAATAATATAGTTTGAATGTTGTCCGTCGCACGGTCCCGAAGCGCCCTAAGATCCAAAAGACGTGGCTCTCGCTATAAGGTGGGCGTCGTCAATATCAACGTCTGTTAGTTGAGCGGTTCTGAAACTACCCTAATATTGAAAAGACGTTGCTTTCGCTCTCAGGTGGTCGAGAGGTTGCGTCGCCAAAATAGCACCTGGCCCGAAAGAAGGTTCCAGGATTGTTCTTGGTGGTAAATTACGGTAAGGAAAAAAACTGCCGGCGTAATGTTCCGGATACTACTACTCACCACCACGGCACACCCCGCCATCATCGACATCATTAACTGTAGAAAAGTCATGGCAGTCCCGCAATACACCTCCATCACTTGGCAATATTGCTTATGCAGCTCCCCCACAGCATTGGCGCAGAATACCTGCTGTCCAGCACTGTAGTCTGAGTTAATTCGAAGCAGTTTTAGCGTGCCCGAACTTGGGTACGACGTACCATTGTGCGCTGTAGGTATCCGCTCCGCTCTCTTGCGGTGGTACCCACAGCGAATTTCCAGGGTCGAATCTCGGGTCACCCACGTGTTCCGTGTAGTTAAGCCAGAGTCCCATGCCCTGCGAGTAGTAGACGGTGGAGTTGCGCTCACCCGACTGCGACAGCCAACGGGGCATGAGCGTGGTGTACCATGTGAGCGGTACTAACGTCACCGCCAGCAATACCACTGCAACAACAAGGTTAGATAAGGCGATGCAATGCTCTTGGCGGTCTGATAGCGGCGTACCCAAGAGCTGTAGCAAGTTCTTCATTGCGACTTGGAGCGCCGAATGGCAAGTGAGCTCAATGGATTTTGGTTGAAAACTGATATAGCCAATTACGACACCGAATGGCTAGTGCCACCGATTATGTAGGCTTGCTTTTAGAAATTTATTTTAGTTGAATTGTACAATAATTGTGGCTCGACCATCGCAATATTGTTTTACTCAAAAAACAAATTAATCGCTTTATTACCCATTAATGAAAAAAAGGGACATGGATGGCATTCAGCCCGAAAAACCTTTCTTAGGCAATTTGTGATACCGGTATCTCACCGAAGAAACTGATATTGGAAGGTATGCATTATCGT